AAATCTTTATGTTTCAACTTTCAATGGGACTAAAAGGATTCTAGTTAAAAATACCAATTATACATTTTTAGGATCTTGTATCTTATGATTTTTAGTCGGTGCGTTGATGACTCTATATGTACATGTGTCTAAAATTAGTGGTGCTGAATTAAACTAATTATATCTTCAAGCTTATGCAGGCGAACATGCATGTATATTTTTTCATATTGAACATTTTAGTGACAAAATAAATACAAAATCGTAAAAGAAAAAAACATAAAAGAATATCAAAGTAAAAAATTGTGTTTAATTTAATAAAATTATATAATAATTTATATAACGATTGCATTAACAGAAAAAGCCAGATTGGTATATATATAACACTCGCGACCAAATGAACATGATACTAATGAATTTAACTAATTCAATAAATAAAACTAATTAGACATTGGATTTGTCGTTCCAAGCAAGTCGGCTAGAGAAATGTACGTGGGGAAGCACGTACATGTGATCTTGTGCAACAACACCAAATTCTCACCAATACAACTTTGATCTTTAGGCCACTATAAGGAAAAGATCGTGTTTAGCACACCTTCTAATCTTTCCGACACAATCTTTCTTATAACACTCCCTTAAGTACTTCCCCATCTTTGCTCAAATCTCCCTTGTCAAAGCCTAAACTTAACCAGACCATGACTCTTTTTTCCCTCTCGTGCCTCCTTGCGGCAATACTCTTTTGTCACTCATTGGTTCATGCCGCTAACAACGGTTATTACGGGTATAACCCGTCAGTCGCCAGCTACCTTCCAGAGAAACCTCAAAACGTTATGAATCCGGTGGACACATGTTGGCGGATAAACCCTGACTGGGCCGCCAACCGTAAAGACCTAGCGGATTGCGCGGTTGGGTTTGGTTCGTCTACCTTTGGCGGCAAGAAAGGTAGTATATATGTCGTCACAAACCCTAGCGACAATGCACAGAGTCCTCAACGGGGTTCTTTGCGGTACGGTGTGATCCAAGACAAGCCGTTATGGATCACATTCGCCAAGGATATGGTTATAACCCTCGAGAACGAGCTTATGGTCAATAGCCATAAGACCATAGATGGGAGAGGGGCAAAAGTGGAAATTGCGTACGGACCTTGCATTACAATACAAGACGTGACGAACGTAATCGTGCATGGGATCAGCATCCACGACTGCAAACCCGGGAAGTACGGTATGGTCAGGAGCAGCACGACGCATGTCGGTCACCGTAAAGGATCGGATGGTGATGGGATCGCGATTTTCGGTTCCTCAAATATTTGGATCGATCATTGTTTCCTAGCGAGTTGTACGGACGGACTGATCGATGTGATACATGCTTCCACAGGAATCACCATTTCCAACAACTATTTCACTCAACATGTTAAAGTCAGTTTATTTGAAACTTCATATTCGTTATGAAATCATCAATATACCTAGTTAATTAATGTCTCGAGCAATTATTATAACATTTTGATCATATTGATTGTTATATATGTATAGGTGATGTTGCTAGGGCACAACGATGATTTCGTGAAAGATGTGAACATGAAAGTGACCGTGGCATTCAATCATTTTGGACCAGGGCTTGTGGAGCGAATGCCAAGGTAATTAATGTTTTTTTATTGATCAACAATTAGTGGTTTTTTTTCTTTTAAAAATTAAAATCCTTAATTTTGATATAAGTAATTTAATGCGGAATTGAAAACGTAATGATGTAAAAGAATGAGGTGGGTGCAGGGTAAGACGAGGGTATGCTCATGTTGCAAACAATAGATATGATAAATGGATAATGTATGCAATTGGTGGTAGTGCCGATCCAACCATTTTCAGTGAAGGCAACTACTTCATTGCTTCTGATAAATCTAACAGCAAAGAGGTATAATTTCATCCTCCTAAATCA